GAAGAACAAGAAGAAGAACAAGAAGAAGAAGAACAAGAAGAAGAAGAACAAGAAGAATTAAAGTCAAGTGAAGGACAAGAACAAGAAGGAGAAGGAGAAGAAGGAGCACACATATTTATTTTATCCATCAGCTTCACTGTAACCATTCGTGCGAAAAAATCATGTATTGAATGTAAAAATATTTAAAGGTCTGTTCAGAACCAGAGACGCGAAACTGTGCAATGGCTTGAACGAAAGTGCAATATATCGTGACTAAACAGTTAAAAACAAGGAATAAATAAACACTGATGAATAAAATTCAAACTTTTGTGTTTTTCTATATTTAGAAATCAAAACATTTGTATTTTAAGTAAGGCAAAATTAGGAAACGTTTTATTGGGAAAGAATTGGACTCCGGCGAAAGTAAGAAGAGCTCATTAAACTAATATGGTTTGGGTTTTTTGCGTTTTCTGATTGGTTGATTGGAAGCCGCCATCTTGTCAAAAAACAATAGCCCACTATCCGCCTCCTTTCTTCTTTCGGAGATCTTAGCCATGGCACGACTAACTCATATAGATTGAAACCTGAAACAACCTCTTGGCTGATCTAAGTCAGGGCGCGGTTAACTCACAGATCGAACCCTGAAACAACCTTTGGGCTGATCGAAGTCAGGGCATGGCTATATAACTCACAGATTGAACCCTGAAACAACCTCTGGGCTGATCTAAGTCAGGGCAGGGCTAACTCACAGATCTAACCCTGAAACAACCTTTGGACTGATCTAAGTCAGGGCAGGGCTAACTCACAGATCTAANGGGCTAACTCACAGATCTAACCCTGAAACAACCTTTGGACTGATCTAAGTCAGGGCAGGGCTAACTCACAGATCTAACCCTGAAACAACCTTTGGGCTGATCTAAGTCAACATACGGCTGGGACGGCTATTAACACTCACAAATTGAGTTTTCTCTGTTTCTGTCTTTAGAAGGATAAGAAGAACGCATATTTTTTTTTAGTTTATCAGTTTGATCATTCGTGCGAAAAATTCACGTATTGAATGCAAAACTCTTTAAAAAAGCTTTTCAGAACCAAAGACGCGAATCTGACTGAATTAATGCCTTGAAAGAAAGTGCAATCTGTCGTGACTGAACAGTTCAAAATATCAGAATTCAAAATTCTATGATTTTTTATATTTTGAAATAAAACATTTATATTTTTAGTAAGTCAAATTTAGGAAAACTGAAAATTGTAGAAGTCCGGCGAAAGTACGAAGCGTTCAGTTAACTAATTCAGGTATTTTTGAACTTTCAAAATCTATATGTTTTTTATCGATATTATTACTATGTTCTAAACCACAGGTTCTAGACTGAGTATTTTTTTTTTATTCTAGTAAGAGAGATTATATGACTATTATATGACTTTTTCTAGATTTGTTGTTGTTGTTGTCGTTTTTTTCAATTGTTGCTGTTTTCCAAACCAACTATGTTTAAACTTAGTTTTTTTTGTACTTAATAACATGTCGCTTTAGCTCTCGCTGTGTAAATTATCACGTCCACTCGAGCTGCAATTTACTTTGCAAAGTAAAGAAAAGTATACTGTATTGATTCATGAAGAGATGTGTTGGCTACAATAGGTAAAACACGTTGGTTTAGCCTGGTTTTGGCTTCTAAAAGACTCTCGTTATAACTTTCACCGCGACGACTCGAGCTGCAATTCATTCTCAATTATTTATAGTTTCACATGCAAGACAACCTTACTTTTTGAAATTACGATGAGCATTGGATTCGTTTTTAGCACGTTTTTCCCCCCCAGGTGTTTATCACAGCCATGCAAGTAATGTAGAGACTTACCTTATAGTTGATTAGGTCTGTCTTTATCCTCTATAGAGGAATCAGATGTTAATATAATAAAAACGGTGCTCAAACACCGTTATAAGGCATCAATAAAGTTATTCAGTGGGCGTTGATAAAATGCTTAAAATCCATTACGGAGTCACGCACCGTATCCAATGAACTAGATATACCGGACGAAAGATTGTCAAACTTATTTAAGACAAAAGAGGAGTTAAACCACTGAAAAACGCGATAGAAAATGTTAAAAAATTCCGATAGTACAGTTGGCAACGATCTCAGAGTCCTTAAAGTTTGAATTCGTATCGTACATTGTGATTTTTTTCTCATTGAATTGGGAAAATTAACCCCTGAAATAAAAAATTTTACATTTCCTGTACGTCATCACAATTCAATTTATTATGCTGCTTGTTTTTTCACACTTAATTGAGTTTTTAATGTTTTAACTCCACCAACACATTAGGATGTGGTTCAAAAATAAAAGCGAAGTTTTCCAAGTCTTAAAGTAGCATGTAGTCGTTAGAAGTTAGAAAATTAGAACTCCTTAGAGTAAAATTAAAAAATATATCCTTGAAAAAATAGCACAAAATAACGAAATAGCACTTAACACATGTATTTCCTTTGTTTTCGATTGTTTCATTGGTGCAGTATTTTTGTACTAATTAGTTAGCACTATTTAATGAATATCTGGTTTGCACTCTATCAAGCTTATCAGTTGCCTTAACTTGCAAATATAAAGTCAATTTAGAAAAATATAAATTTTGATAGTCAAGTAGACACAATTGCAAAAGAAAATGATATATAAATATTTATAAAATATTTGAGATATAACGCGCGCGCTGATTGGCTGGCTACCGTGTTTATATCAGAGGACAGAGACACGCTCGCGCGAAATCATTCAGAAAATATTTTATAAAAGCGATATAGAACCTCCGCTTGTGTCTATATACAGTGATATCAACACCATGGGAGCTGTAGAGCACTCGAGAAGTCAAAAGAAAAAAAAGTAAAAAAAAAAAAAAAAAAAAAGGAATAAAATTAATAACTTAGTAACAAAATTTATATTTCTCAGTGGGAAGTCCAGGTTTTCAAAAATGTTCGCTTTGATCGTTGTATTAAAAAAATTCTTTGAGCATAAAAACATGTTTGACGTAACTCATAGAAAAGGAGGGGGGTGGGGGCTGGCCACGGAACCCATGGAAGCACCCATGTAACGTATGCGCATACATAAACATACGTATATATATATTCGTAACTTATTTGAAACTAAGTTGATGTGCAACTATGTACAAAACGCCAAATAAAATATGTCTGTCTGTCTGTCTGTAACCACCCTCGGATCTGCTACTGCTTCTCAATGAGCAGCGTCACTACTGTTCTGAAAAGAGGACAAAATCATTGGACGTAGGCGGCTGATGTCATTCTTGATGAAAACCTGTGGGTTTCAGAAACTGCATTCATCCCTTTGTTATTTGTATAACATGGGATATTTCTATAGTCACGTACATTTTTATTGATCATAAGATGAGGATGGCTGCAGCTGACGTGGTTAATGCAGTATAAAACGTGTGAATGCTACAAAAGGGCCCTATAGGGAGCACAGCCTTAAGGAACTATGAGAATGTAGAGAAATAAGTAAATAAAAAGAAATACTAGTTAATAACTAAAAATGTGCACTAATGTAAGGTCAAATAAAGTTGTCAATATATGATGAGGGTGTCTATCAACCAAATTACTATTATTATTGTCAATTATTATTATTATTATTGATATTATTAATATTAGAGTTATTAATATCTATTATTCATTTCTCACTTTGCTTATTCTCATAATAATCGTACAAATCATATACAAAAATTAATTGTTTAATCAAGTAGAAGATTCAGGGTAGAAGATTGTAATTGTAAGAGTTAAATTCGGGCTGCACGCAGGCTAAGCTTACAGTCGTAAGAAAATCAGTCGTATATCAAAGTTTCCATTAACGTCATTATCATCATTATTATTTGTAATTTTATTAAATAATGCAAAAAAATATGCACTTATAACTAACTCTTCTTAGATTTAAAAACACCAATCTTTTCCGTGCAGATAATTTAATTCCGTTTCAAACGGTTGACTGATATGCGAGAAACGGATTTGTATCAATAAAGGTCACTTAAGTTCAACGACGCAAAACGCGCTAAAGAAAACGCATTTTAAATCAATTTAAAAATCCTCTACATGACTGAACTTGTCAATCAAAGTAGTTAAACTCAAGTCTTTAGGGTACTACACTAACAATGTATTTTTCAATGTTTGGAAATGCATAGCATTTCTGTTAGTTTATCAGGCCAAAAGTCATGGTAAAGTCAGTTACCACGGTTTGTCGGCACAAAATAATTTGAGAGTGCATTCAAACAAAAAGTGTGGGTCAAAATCAGATGTAGCCAAATTTCTTTGCTTCTACTAGTTCAGTTATAGTATGATTTGTATATACACACACACACATATATATATATATATAAGAAATCTGTGAATCAATTTTCCGTAAAACAGTGCTCAATACATCGATAGAAGTAGAGCAGAATATTTGTTTGAGAAGAAAAAGTCAAGACAACATTTTTCCCGACAAGCCTGTTTCGTGAATTGCTTCACTCTTCAGGGGATTTAAATCCCCTGAAGAGTGAAGCAATTCACGAAACAGGCTTGTCGGGAAAAATGTTGTCTTGACTTTTTCTTCTCAAACAAATATATATACATATATATATATAGTAAAGATTGGATTAAAGACGAGACATGTTCACTATAAACTCGATTGCAGAAACGTTGTAGTATACATTTATACATTTATACAAATACCTAATGAGATGCATATTGTAATTTTACTTTTTTAACCCTCAAAACCAATTGATTTATAATCTGTAGGATGTAAAACACAAGAATAAAATATTATGACGTTCATTGAATGAAACAAATAATAAATAAAGCGAGTTTTCTGTTTTGCATACCATTAAATATACTGAATAAATTAGGAATTTGTATTAATGTATACTACAACCTTTCTGCAATCAAGTGTATATATATGTATAACTATTTTTCTAAATAAATTTGTATTATCATTATTCTATAATATAAATAACCATCATTACAAATACCAATATGTATCTAAGAGCGAAATTATTAGAGTCAATTGATATCGTATAATAACAGTAAGAATGATCTGTAAAAAAAAAACTATGAAAAAATTTATCTGGCATTATATTAAACTTTTTGACATATGATATAATATAACTCACATAACTTATATAAACTATAATACTTTTAATTATGCTTTCAAATTGGAAAAAAAAAAAAAAAAAAAGAAAGAATAAAGAAAAAAAGAAAAGAATCTTAGGAAACATTTCCCACAGTTCCGCACGGTACGAGAACGAGAACGAGGGTCCGTGAGAGATTGGGCACTAGCGTCTTCCTCGATCAGGGAATATGATGTTGGGTGGCCTTTGTCCTTTTCTCGATCACTGAAAATATCACCTCGAAAACCACCAAAAAACTACGAAAAATCGAATTTCAACCCACCATACTAGTGAACGTAATCTCATCTGGGTCTTCTGTTCAGTTATTTAGGGCCAAGGTTTAGAAATTTTGGTAAAAAATCGGAGATTTCTGAGGGTGTCATTTCGCGCCATTTGTGGAGACGACGCTTAACTTATCTTCGGGAACAAAATTCGAAATTTATCTGGAAGGTAAGAGAATATCTAGATAAAACTTATTTTTTAGTATTTGGTTTATTTTAGCTCATAACATTGACTGCAATAATTGGCTTTTGGAAGACACAGGTATCCCATTTTATAGGGATTTTTTGTGGTTCATCGGGAACCCTGTGCTTGTTATCTAGTTGTTTTTATTGAAGAAAGGAGAAGAAAACTTTAAACATATCTTGGACTTTTCTCATTTATTTGGCATTATCATTATGTAAAAATGTCCCTCGTGTCGTATCGTTTAAGATGGGTAGCGTTTTAATTGAGGATGGGCAAAAGCTGAAGAGATTTAGGCGGATTCGAATTCGATATTGCGGCCATGCTCCCTCGCCCAACGATGGATTTTACGAACCAAACAGTAATAGCTTCTTATGAGTATTATTTTTTTTCCTTGTATGTTTTTCATTTGATATGCAATTCCTGCTAAGTTAGTAGTTCGTAAATTGGAGGAATTAAAAAATAAATTTCATTATTTTGGGAAGAAATTGTAAACTAAGATTTTGTTAGCTGCTGAAGCTATCCGCCATTTTCTTCTTGGCATATAATTTTACCAATTAATTTGCAGTTCTGGATAATACTAATAGCAGTTTTAAATTATTTACTCTTCACACTTTTACATGTGGATTATAAAGATTTTAAAAAGTTTTGTTTTAAAAAATATTGGAATTTAGCATATACCAACTTGTGTACTTCCTAAGAATGCGCACGCTCATTGGTTAATTGGAGGTGAATATTGTACGATATTCACCTCTGAATATCGGAATATTGAGTCAGCAACAAAATGGCATCTGCCGGCAATCGTTTTGCTACATTTTCCGATGTGGAAATTGAAAAAATGAAAGTAAATGCCATTCCTATCAATACTAAAAAGGCAACGAAGTATGGCCTAAAAGTTTTGCGTGAATTTGTCACGCAAACTAAAAGTTTCTGTTTGTTTGTTTTTATTGAATTATTGTATATAAAAATATGTTACTCTGTACAAAAGTTGGTATGTAATATATAGAGTATGAGTGGCCATGTTGTATCAGATATACAACCATGAGGCGTAGCCGAGTGATTGTATATCTGATACAACCACAGGTAGCCCAAGCTTGGTTTCTGTGGTGTCCTGTTATAAGGAAATGTATGGAGATTCATCAAAAATTGCAATAAAATCATTGAAACGTGAAATAAAGCCACGAAATGTTACCCGATCATTGAGAAATAGCACTTCTTTCGCTCTGCGTGGTTAATTTTTTGAATTTAGCCCGTTTTAAGATTTTTTTCCCCACCAGTAAGAAATAAGAGAAGGTTGGAAACTCGAGTCCCAAAAGTGAACCATCACAGGTCTTTGAAACCTCGTACGTCTTCGAATTTTCTTTCCAGCGCCAAATTTTAGTCATGACCCTTCTCTCACATCCCTATAGAACCGAGAAAGAAAGTCGCATTAGAGATTAGTCTTCGCGTCTTTAAGCCATAAAATTTGCCTGTATTCACATACTACCTCGCTTGTTCTGTCCCGTACTTGGAGCTCACTGTACACCAGTTCAACGGATTTCTTTCGGCAATCGACCCGAGGTCACGCCGGAAGAAATACTTTTGTATCTTAGGCTGTTAAAAAATACACTCACCATAATTTTGAAGAAAGATTATAAAGTTATAAATTATAAGTTAAATACTTTTGTATCTTAGGCCGTTAAAAA